GTAAATCTTTCGAAATATATTTAGACGTGATTACTCATAAGTATCTTCTTTGAATATAACGCAACATTTATGTTAAATCGATAGGCTAAATTAAAAAAAAGCCTTACCTTATCAAAGGAATGAGAGTATCACGAATAACCTTATCAAAATATCAGTCTTGTATCCTACTAAAACGTTTTAGTTGTCACGTTTATTTGTGTTTTTAAGTGCAAAGTTACACAATGGAGGAGTGGTGAGGTAACTGCGCTGTGCCTACTACGGTAACGAATCACGACATTTAGCGTATAAGCTCTCAAAGCTTCCGCTGAGGCAAGGATGAGCAGCTATCATGAAATATTACTTTACAGATGTGAAATGTGACATAGTCAACATTTGGGATGTTATAACATGGTCAACATCTGGTATGTTATCCTGGAATAGTACATTATGAGATACATGAGCTAAACGCCCAGGCCATTCCATAATTTATAACTACTGACTAGAGGGAAGACAAATAATTAACAACACTCATTGCAAAAATAACGACGTCTCAATTCGCATTATAGAGGGCGAATTAAATATGACTTACAATGCTTATACTTACTGGTTAACATTATGACTTTTTTGAAGCCATAATCACTAAAATATAACCGATTAACGATAGAATAATAAAGAATATTCAAACCATTTTATGACAATGGTCTATTCCAATCAATATTCATATCTGACGTTAAAAATTGCTGTATAATATAATTAGTTTAGTTTGTTTTAAATTTCGCGGAAAGCTACAGGAGTGTTATCTGCCCCTAATTTATCAGTGGTAGACCAGAGAGAAGGCAGCTAGTCAACACTACCCATCACCAACCCTTGGGTTACTCTTCTTACCAACGAATAGCGGAATTAACCTTCACAGTATAACGCCCCCACGGCTGAAAGGGCGAGCATGTTCGGTGTGTAGAATGTACTATCCTATTAGCTGTGCTGAGAACAAACATCTTTCAAAAGATTGTTTGTTTGTAATTAAGCACAAAGCTACACAATGGGCTATCTGTGCTTTGCCCACCACGAGTATCGAAACCCGGATTCTAGCGTTGTAAGTCTGCTGTGCCACTGGGGGGACTTTCATAAGAAGGAGAAACCGTGTGAGATTTCTAAAGAAACCCTGAATTTCAGTCAGTGTAAGCGGAATGTTTTTAGCGTTACTTTCTGTCACACGTTAGCAAATGACAAAAAATTATAATACAGATAAAATATTAAAATAAAACTAACAGGTGTAAAAAAATAATTTATATATATTATCGTAGTTTCACTTTGTCAGGAAACTAGACGGTCATACCGTTGAAGCTATATAATGTATAGAATAATTTTAGTTTTTCATTTCTGAAACATTTAAACCATTATTTGACAGAGTCTGCGTGTGTCCGCTTATAACTGGCGAGCCGCTGGAACGATTGTCACTAAGTCTGATATGTATCCAAGGAGTAACGTGGTAGGTCGGCGTCCGGATCCCCCCAGGTCCCCTGTCTCTTCCCCGTGCACTGAACTGGTACGTTAGCTAGTCAAGTAATAAACTGAGATAATCTAATGTACTTTGATAGGGTAACAAACTCTGTTTCATCTTTCTGTGTTCGTTTGTTAATGTGTAATAAAAACTATATTATTTCACCTCTTGCACAATAAAATATGATTTTGTCAAGAATGTATATATATTTTTTTCTCAGGCATAATTTCTGTTTTTCAGAATATTAGTACACGTTTTGTTGTAACTAACATTTTACAGAGTTGATTGCACACAGCGATGTATTTTATAAGAGAGATGAATTCAGGTATTGGCGACTGAAGAGAGATGAATTCGGGTAGTGGCGACTGAAGAGAGATGAATTCGGGTAGTGGCGACTAAAGAGAGATGAATTCGGGTAGTGGCGACTGAAGAGAGATGAATTCGGGTAGTGGCGACTAAAGAGAGATGAATTCGGGTAGTGGCGACTGAAGAGAGATGAATTCGGGTAGTGGCGACTAAAGATAGATGAATTCGGGTAGTGACGACTGAAGAGAGATGAATTCAGCTTGTGGCGACTGCAAGTAATTTCTTTTTTTTTGGAAAGAATAGTTTCAAAGCTTGCAGATAGTCAATAAAGCGTATCATATTAAACTACTGTATATTAAAAGGTGGAAGGTGTTAAGCAGCGCTTTACGACTCGAACATTGGACCTTTAGTAAACAGCTTCGCACACTTAGCAATTATTTACGCTCACTCCAGGTGAAAATAGTTTAATGATTTTGCAATACATATATCTATACATACCTATATATTTTTTTCTTTTAGCGGTATGGGCCTGGTCTAAATTGTTTCCAAATGGGTTTTTATTACTGCAGAAATGTTCAGCTATGCCATTAATAGAATTATCTAGAAGTTATATTTTAGTTTGATTGTTTGAATAGAATTATTCAATGTTATTTCTAGAAACAATTTTCTAGATCATAGAAGAGCGATCCCAACCACAAAACAAAATATATCAATAATAGGCGTTACTACACTTTTTACAGTGGTTGATTACTACATTAGATTTCACTATCACTGAGTGGCGTCTTGGACAAACATGAAATCAAAGATTTGTAGCAGACTATTTGGTCTAAAAGTTTTCTGGCAATGAGCCAAGTAAAACAAACAGTAAATAAAATGTAACTACTAGAAACTGAGTCAGTATGTGGTTCAGATAAAGTTAACAATTAATAACGAAATTTAGCCTTCCTTTTAACACTTTGCTACGCACGGCGTGAAGGGTGATAAATCTGAAATTTACACAACAAACGCTTGATACTTGAGTAACGAATCCTTTTACTTGTCTTGGGATGTACAAATGTTTACTGCTGCCCTGTTTTTAGAAACTCGACATGACGCTAATAATTATTACATAAATGCGGCCTCTCCGTTTCGCGTCTAAAGTGTATAAATTTAGAAGATCCGCCATTTTGTTGTTAATCACACCGCACAAATATATGGTCTAGGTGAACGAATGCAGTGTCGTGTACACTTCCGTTGCACTACACAAACAAAGGAGACAAACAAAATGTTTCATCAGCCATTATAAGAAATTAAACCAGTAATTTGTTTATCTTAATCCACAGTTCTCAAAAACAATTATAGGTGCTGTTCCAGTATCCACCCCTTTTTTTTTACACAGAAAACATTTGAAACTTAAACGATTCCACTAATGTTATATATCCAATATTATTGTACAACATACGTTCTACCGAAAACATTTGAAACTTAAATGATTCCACTAATGTTATATATATCCAATATTATTGTACAACATACGTTATTCATGAGAACATGATTTTATCACCTTAGTTTCCCATTGTTGCAGTTCTTATTGGCTGAATTTTGTGTATTATTTCAGCGTCTTAAAGTTTCCCGGTTACGTTCTTAGTGAGTCAATTTCTCATTGTTTAATAGGGCCGGGCGTGGTAAAGTGGTTAGGGTTTCGGGACTCAATGCTACTAAAAACGCTCTATACTTTCAGTCAATCAGTTAATCGCTTCAAAGACGTAGACTAAGCTTTCGTGGCGGTGGTTATTGCTGGCTGACTGCATTTCCACCGGTCACTAGCTCTTGACCTGAGTGTACAAAGTGCCATTCAGTTTGAAAGTTTCAACAACCGTGCAATTTGTACGCAGGTTTGAAACAACTTTGAATTTGAACTTTATGATTGAGTAGCTTTAGATATCAGACTATCTGTGGTTTTGACTCATGAACTTGCCTGGTGTTTACAAATCTGGTCAGAATTGTGACACTAGATAATATTAATCTGAAAACTTTTCAGAAATATAATGTCGAAACAATAAACCGAATGCAAGTGTTTCTAATTACGATTTGGACAACTCATGTTAAATTTTGTGCTCTGTTACATAATAAGGTTTAACTAACGAGAAGATTATTAAAAAGCTTAATGATAAACATTTCATTAACACAAGAAATAAATACACTCTTCGGTCTATGTTTGAAACACCACAGCTTCTGCACTAGTAGTGGGAAGTTTAGCATTATTTACATTTATTTACAAAGAAAAATATTACATGTATAACGTGTATGAACCGATACGCGTGTGTGTGTCTGGGGTAGGGGTAAAAGACCCCTCATTCAACTTATTAAAATGATAGTAAAAGAAAATTTATCTGGTGATCTAACCGGATGTCCTATTAAGAAATGATGTAGAAAGCCCACGTAGACAAGCAGTACTTGGAATTTATTCGTGTAATAGATAAAACATCTGATGTATTTCTTATCATTTTACTGGTTCGAATCCCCGTCCCACCAAACATGCTCGCCCTTTCAGCCTTGGGGGCGTTATAATGTGCCGGTCAATCCCACTATTCGTAGGTAAAAGAGTACCCCAAGAGTTGGCGGTGGGTGATGATGACTAGTTGCCTTCCCTTTAGTATTTCACTCCTAAATTAGGGACGTGTAGCTTTGCGTGAAATTCAAACCAAACCAAACTGTTGAAAAATATCAACTAATACTAGTAAGATAAAAATGAATAAAAACCCTATAACCCGAGCGTTTTCTAAAGGTGGACCTTTCTTCTTCGGCCCGGAATGGCCAGGTGGTTAGGGCGCTCGACTCGCAATCTACGGGTCGCGGGTTCGAATCCCCTTCACACCAAACATGCTCGCCCTTTCAGCCGTGTGGTCGTTATAATGTGACGGTCAGTCCCACTATTCGTAGGTAAAAAGTAGCCCGAGAGTTGGCGGTGGGTGGCGATGACTAGCTGACTCCCCCGTCTACTAAATTAGGCACGGCTTGCGCAGATAGCTTTGCGCGAAATTCAAGAAAAACCCAACGACACAACTCGGTGGGAAGAACACAGATAACTCATTGTGTAAATTTGCGATTAACAACAGACAAACAAACAATATCCTTACCTTATCAAAAAGAACCTAAAAAAACAACAACACAGAAGATAACTAGTTACATTAGGAGAGTGATATCAAATACAAACCATTTTCGTTCGGGATATCGAACCGCTAACAAAGAAGTTTTAAAAAAGACATAATTTTCTAGTGGTCCTAAAACAATGGAATCGGTATTAAGTTTTGTTAAAAGTTTTGTTAAAGCGAAAAAGATAGTGATCGACTCTTTTGTTTGTCGTATTCACCATAAAGCAAGTGTAATTTTGTTACTTGCGTGTAGTATATTAGTTACTGCTAAACAGTACGTGGGGGACCCAATAGATTGTATAGGAATATCTAAAAATGACATTCCCACAGAGTTGCTTGACACCTACTGCTGGATACATTCAACGTTCAGCGTTCAGAAAGGATGGAACAAAAAAGTGGGAGTTGAGGTACCTTACCCTGGTGTGGATAAGTACACCGAAGGAGACAAACGTATTCACCATACATACTATCAATGGGTATGTTTTATGTTGATGATCCAGGCAGGTTTCTTTTACATTCCTCACTGGTTCTGGAAGTGCATGGAAGGTTCTCGCGTGAAGAACTTGATGTTAGGGTTAGACAACCCAATATTATCGGAAGACGCGAAGAATGAGAATAAAAAATTATTGGTAAAATATTTCCAAGACAACAGGAAAAACCACGTCTTATATTTCACTGCATTTATTGTGTCGGAAATATCGAATTTCGTGAACGTGATTGTCCAGATATTCTTGGTGGATAAGTTTCTACAGGGCGAGTTTTCAAACTATGGTCATAAGGTGCTCCAATTCCGGGACTGGGATTGGACAGCGAACTATAACCCCATGCTCAAGGTGTTCCCGAGAATGACCAAGTGCACGTTCAACACCTACGGTTCCTCGGGGGACATCCAGCGTTATGATACGTTGTGTGTCTTACCAATTAACATAATCAACGAAAAGATATACGTTATATTGTGGTTTTGGTTTTTAACTGTGGCGGTTTTGACAGGACTAAGCCTCGTGTATCGGTTCTGCACATTTTTCATCGCCAGGTTGCGTTATAAAAGCATAATTCTGTTGAATCGACTCGTTGATCCTGATGACTTAGGTTTGGTGATCGAAAACTATGGGATAGGAGATTTATTTCTGTTACATTTGTTAAGTAAGAACATCGATGAAGTGAACTTTAGTGAATTAATTAAAGATTTATCCACGGAATTCACGGAAAACGAAGGTCGTAAATTTCTTTAAGGGGTTCATTTATAAATGACACGTTAAATAGTTTGCATTATATGCACTAAGTATGTCGAGAAAGTTTCAAATATGTTTCTTTTTAATTTTATAGAAAAGAGTTATTGTAAATTTCAACACGACTAATGAAATTGTGGTTTAAAATTGTATTCTTCCATCTGTGTCTATGTTGAATGCGTTATCAGTGGTTCTTGAAGCTAAGTATATAAATATATTACATCTGCCATTCTGCACTTCGTGACTGCCATAAGTTTAACCTTAAGAGACATATATATTTTACACTCCACATTCAAATAATATTTTTTTGGGTTTTATTAGGTTGACTTTATTCTAGAGCAAAGCCACATTTAGCT